TGGCCAACCGATAAGTGCTCGAATGGTAGAGAGGGTGTAGCAAGGGACTCGATTTCTTCTTTCTCGAATATGTGAGCCATAGAAGCGCGAAGGGATCGATTGCACTCCTCTAAATGCTCCATAATCTCGGCTAAATTGACTCGAGAAGCTTCCCGAGTCGGCTCGGGTGGAGATGTCACATCATAAAAATCGAGAGGCGGCGGATAATAGTGAGGTGTCTCGTCGTGACCCGGAGAGTAATAACCGAAATCAACTTGAGATGGCGGGTAGAAAGGCTCGGATACGGATATGGCGGCCTTCCATGCGGGTACATCTCCTCATGGTAGTTGTTGGGGTATCCACGAGACGAGCTACCGACATAAGAATAGCCGTATCGATCCATCGGAGCCCCTCAAGTGAAGTACCTCGCACAAGAACAAGAAAACAACCAAGGCACACGAGACCAAGAAACGAAAAACACAAATACAAAACTAAAACGACATCATATGTACGCAAACACACACAAAGCTAAATCAAGAGAAACGAAAAATAAGCAATAATGAAGAGAAACACGCAAAATCAAGAAAAAGCAACAAAAAGCATAAGAAACACAAAAACAAACAACAACTAGATAGCAAATTTGGCGTCCTACTCGCCTTCCCCGGCAACGGCGCCATTTTGTTTGAAGTATTTTTGGGCATGTGGTAACCGAGCTACCCGACTCGGGTCGTTCTCAAAGGAAGGCTTCGTTTACTACCTAGTCGTCAAAGTCACACAACCAAAAACAAGTTCCTAAACTTGCTACTCGCTTGATTGGGGGATGATTGCACGCACTTGAACTACGAATCTAGGAGCGAATGATGGAAAATGCAAATATAGAGAAAAAGATCAAAACTTTGGTCTACCGGAATCCCCATGACTCAAGAAAAAGAAAAATAACAAGATAAATCATGCAAGCATAGCGAACCTAGGTTTCCTAACACGAGCTTTCTACACTAAATCATTACGCTTTGAGCAAAGTCGAAATGTTTCTAGATAAGCACATATCGAATCCTAACACACCAAAGCAAGCAATGAAAATAGAGCAAAAACCAAGAATCGAGCATCAACACAAAATCAAAAAACAAACTCAAAATAATTAGCCCTAAGCAAGGTACTCACCCTCCTATCGCATGCGTAGACGAAAAAAGTGCGTAAAACTCGAATCTTGATCGAAAATAAAGTTGCCGGAATTTCACCGGAAAAATCGAGTCATGAGTCTCCAACCAAAGCATAAAAAAATAAAAGAGAGAAAATGGAGAGGATTTCCCAACTTAAAAGTTGGGAAATGAGGGTTGTCTCCAAAATACAAAGAACAATGTCTATATATAGCTACACCACAAAAATACACTAAAAACACGCACATTAAGTAACACACTCTAGAGGTCTCCGTGAAATTCGAGAGCTCGCGAGCAGTAGGTGGCACAGGGGCGCACGGGCGAAGCACTCTCGAGGTCGCGGTGGAATCCGCGTGCGCGTGGCGTGCATGGGTGTTGGGGTCGGCAGACTCTTGAGCTCGCGAGAGCGTGCGCGAGGGCGCGAGTGGGCAGTGGGGAGCTCTCGACATCGCAGGTGAATCCGCAGGCGCGCGGTGTGCGGCTGCGGGCTTGCTGTGGGTGCTGGCAGGACACTCTCGACCTCGCAGAAATTTCCATGAGCTCACTCTCGACGTCGCGGATTTGTCCTCAAGCTCGCGGGCATGGGCGCGTGCGTAGGAATGGTCCCGGTGACCTCTTGATGCTCGATTTGCTCTAAATTCTCCCACACAACTCCGATCCGCACGAAACTTGGACCAAAATTCTCCTTATTGAATTCTCTTGGTCCGGTATAGCTTGGTCGAAAGGTAGGACGGCTCGGTCGGATCAGACGGCTTGTCTCCTCGTTCTCGACAAGTTGGACCTATTCAACACCAAATCAAAAGAGAAAACGCGCAAAAATACGAAAACACTATACAATAATATAAATACACAAAACATAATAAAATGGACCGGCCGACACTAAAACGAGCCTAAAACTATAAAATAAAGCACACAAAACACACGAAAATAACGACAAAAACACAATAAACAATTTTGTAAATATTTAAACACAATAATTTGTTTTAAATATATTTACATAAATTTAAATTAATCACATTAATAGTAATATTTACGTTCATTAAATATTTTTCTATACATAAATTAAGAAGAGTAAGAGTACTTCTATAACTCTTAATAATAATAATAATAATAATAATAATAATAATAATAATAATAATAATAATAATAATAATAATAATAATGACATTATATGACAACAAATTTTACAACAAAATAATAATTTAATATTATATGTTGAACAAGAATGAGTAAAATTATTATTTTCTTATATCAATGAATGTGTAGAACAAATTTTTCTTATATTATATGTTAGCAGAATAATATATGAATTAACATGTTAACATCACTGATTAAAAGATGTGGAAAATAAATGATCTAGTCTATTTCATTTTTTGCCTAAACAGACAAGCCATAATATAAAGGACTTATTAAATATATATATCACATACTATATATTAGTTGCAAATAGGCTAAATTAGTTTTTTGGTCCCATAAGTGACCTCTATTTTGGTTTCAGTCTCAAAAATTTAACTTTTTGGTAATCGTCCTGTAAGTGAAAAAAATTTAGTTTTTGGTCCTCTGACCGCCTGTAGCAGGTCAGAGTAACCGGTGGCTTACGTGGAAATTCACGCGATTTTTTTTTTTTTTTTTTGTAAGATTAGGTGGAGAATTATGTGGCATAAAAATGCAAAAAAAATTAAGGGGGGAGGTCGGTTCAAACACAAGACCTCAAGAATCCCAAAGAAGCTCTGAGCCACTTGAACTAACAAATATTATATTTAAAATTTGGCTTCACTTATATGTCTATCAACATTGTTTTATCCACACATATATTTAAATAAATATATATTTACAACTAAATTTAGTAATTAATAGATAATAAAATAAACTATAATTAAATAAATCATATAATTAAAAAATAAAATAAATATAATATTATTTATTTATTTATTTATATTCGTAATTATATTATTTATTGATTACAAAATAAAATTGAGTAAACTAAATATATAATATTATATTATTATATTATCTTGCTTAATTAAACCTTTATATAATTAATTTAATTTACCTTATTAAAATTTAATTAATATTTTTATAAATAAAAGAAATATTTATTTACTAAATAAATAATAATTTATATAATAACATAATATATTAAATAATATAATAAATAAATATTGTATGTAATATAATTTTGTTTACCATATTTTAATAAGTATATACTAAATAATATAATTAATATATAATGAATAATTATTTTAAATTACGAAAAAATATATTAATTAAATAAATATATTAAAGGATAGATATATATTAAATAAATAAATTTATTTAATTAAAAACTTAATAGATAAATATGTAATATATTTAATTAAAGTTATTTGTCTATTAAATATATAAATGTATTAAATAATATATTAATTAAATATTTACTAAATAAATACATATATTAAATAATAAAATACATAATTATATTATTTATATATTTAATAGACAAATAACTTTAATTAAATATATTAAATATTTATATATTAATTTTTTAATTAAATAAATTAATAAAAAATATTATTAATTATCTATTTTAATAAATATTATATAATAAATATTATAATTATATGTATACTAAATATTATATAATTATTTTTTTTATAAAATATTCTAAATATTTAAATATAATTATATTAATTAGAATATTATAAATATTTATAGTTATCTAAATATTATATAATTATTTATTTTCTAAATATTCTAATTATCTAATATTATATTACTTATTTTATAAGATACTCTAATTATTTATATATAAATAATTAGAATATTTTATAAAATAAATAAATATATAATATTTAATATACATAAATTATAATATTTATTATAAAATAGTTAATAAAATAAATAATTATATAATATATTTTAGATAATATATGATTTAATACATTTCGTTATTAATTAAATATTTACTTATTTAGTAAATAAATATTTATTTTATTTATAACAATATTAATTAAAGTTTAATATGGTAAATTAAATTAATTATATAAAGGTTTAATTAAGCAAGATAATATAATAATATAATATTATTTATTTAGTTTACCTAATATTATTTTGTAATTAATAACAAAAATAATTACGAACTAAAAATAAATGAATAAAAACTATTATATGTTATTTTATTTTTTTAATTATATGATTTATTTAATTATAGTTTATTTTATTGTTTATTAATTACTAAATTTAGTTGTAAATATATATTTATTTAAATATATGTGGAGATAAAACAATGTTGATAGACATATAAAAGTTAATCCAAATTTTATACATAATATATCTTAGTCCAAGTGGCTCAAATCTTCTTTGGGATGCTTGAGGTCTTGGGTTTGAACCACCCTCCTCACAACTTTTTTTGCATTTTTATGCCACATAATTCTCCACCTAATTTTTTGCATTTTTATGCCACATAATTCTCCACCTAATCTTAAAACTCAGCAAAAAAAACTAAAAAAGCATTTTTATGCCACATAATTCTCTACCAAATTTTAAAACTCAGCAAAAAAATCTAAAAAAAAAAATGGTGAGAATTTCCACGTAGGCCATCCGGTTACTCTGACCTGCTACAGGCGGTCAGAGGACCAAAAAACATTTTTTTTTTCACTTACAGGACGATTACCAAAAAATTAAATTTTCGGGACTGAAACTAAAATAGAGGTCACTTATGGGACCAAAAAAATAATTTAGCCTTGCAAATATTAGAAAGCAAATGAAACAAATTAATGCATTGCAAATAAAAGTAAGCTGTTACAAATTATTTCGTCTTAAACAACGGTTCTACGTTGATTCACAGAATCCAATAATAAAAATTTACTGCAATGCTTGAGTTGCTTAATTATAAAGACTTGGTGACAGTCTAGGAGCAACAAGAAGATCAAGTGGCGTGGCTTTCATATTGACCACTCCAAGACTTCCCGTCATATCCACCTTCTCACCCGACACGGTCGACAGCTCAAACCCGTGCAACAAGTTAGCCAGCACCAAATGTACCATCTGCAAGCCAAAGTTTGCCCCCGGACAGATCCTCCGGCCGGCACTGAACGGGATTAAATTAAAATCATGACCTTTCATATCCAAGTTGCAGTGCTCGCCAAGAAATCGCTCGGGCTTGAACTCCAGTGCGTCGGGTCCCCAAACGTGCGGGTCCCGGTGAATTTTCCACGCGTTCACCATCAGCCACGTCCCCTTGGGAATGTGGTAGCCGCCGACAATGCAGTCCTCGGCAAACTGGCGTGTGCCAAGCAGGGGACCTGCCGGGTATAACCGAAGAGTCTCTTTTGTGATGGCTTGGAGATAGACTAGATTGGCAATGTCTGATTCCTCCACACGCCTTTTCTTGCCCACGTGTGTATCCAGCTCTTCTTGAGCTTTCTTGAGGGCCTGGCGATTGTTGAGTAGGAGGGAAAGGGCCCATATTAACATGACTGTGTTCGAGTCCGTCCCACCTATGATCAAAGCCTGCACTCCCAATGAAAAGCGCGAGCGCGAGTGCGCGACATGAGTCGAATGTCTTTTGTTTGTAATTAGATCCGGCCAGTAACTAGTTGATCAAATTAGTTTCATATCATTATCTTTTATGAATTAATTTACGATTAAACGTTAATTAATTACCTCACAAGTGGACTTGATGATGGTGTCGTCATCATACTCAGTACGAAACTCACCGCCTCTCATAACCGATACCATCATATCCATAAAATCTTGCGGCTTCTCATCATCATATCCCTTCTCCCGATGCTCCGCCAGCCATCCGCCGACCAGACTCTCCATCTCCCTCGCGTTTTCCTTCATCATTTTCTCGTGCCCCCCAATATCCAGCCACCCCAGATAAGGCAAAGCGTCCGCCACCACAAACTTCCCTGACAGCTCAAAAAACCTCCTCATCATCTGCCAGCACCGCCTCATCTCCTCCCCATCTCCGTTAATGCCCACCCTCTTGCCAACCACCAGCCTCAGCACCACGTTCATGTTCAGCTCCCACAGCCACTTCTTCATGTCAACCAAAACCCACCCAGCTGACCCATCCTTCCTCTCTTCCCACCTGCGCCACAGCTCGTTAACCGACAAGCCCGTCTCGGATGAGCGCACATCTCGCTGCATCTTCACCTGCCGTGCCGAGAGGAGCTCAGTAGAGAGCAGCTTGCGCATCCGGCTCCAGTGCAGGCCATAGGGGGCGAATCCCATGTTGGCGAAGCCGCGGCTGAGGTGGAAGGCAGCCCGCAGGACCGGGCGGGAGGATACGGCCGAATCGCAGGCGGTGAATACGTGTTTGGCGAGCTCCCCGCTGCTGATCAACAGGGCCCGCCGCACGCCCAGACGGATTGTGAAGGCCGGGCCATACTTGTCGGCAAGGGCGCCCAGCGTGATGTGGGGGAGCTCGGAGCCGGAGGACATAAGGTGGAGATGGCCGGTAAAGGGCCGGGCTCCGCCAGCTTCCGGCGGGGATTTGTGTGTGCCGATTTTTGGCCTTAAGTAGTAGAAGAGGAAAAGTGTGGCAACAATGGGTCCGAAAATGGACATGCATAGCTCCATTGCAAAGTGATGTGTTAATTCTAGCTTTTTTTTTGGGGAATATGAGTATGTATATATAATTAGTATGAATATGCCAATGGGTCACTATGAAAGGAAAACAAAAATTGTAGGGCCTGGAGATGTTGACATATATGTAATTATGAGTCTTTTGGTTTTTCATGATGGGACATTTTCGTCATTGTACATGATTCACTGTTACGCTATTTTGATGGGCATTTTTCTCTTTAAAATACACTGTTACGCTATTGTGCATTTTAACATCGTTTAACACTATTATGTATTTTATAGCGCGATGACATTTTGGTAAATTTATAGACTTTTAAATGTGTGCATTTAGTTTGGGCATTGTTCTTTGTTGCTCAAATTGCTACTTGTTGTCCAAAAAAAAAAAAAAAAA